TTTCTTAAAATTTAATTTTATTTAATTTTATTTCACTTAATTTTATTTTATTTTATTTAATTTCATTTTATTTATTTTCATTTTATTATGTGTCCCACCTTCCACAGGCCGTGTCCCACCACCATGGACCATGTCCCACATCTCCTTCAAACGACCTCTGGTCATCAGAGATCGAGAAGTTTTGAAAAAAAAACCGGGTGACTTTCCCCTGTAATTTCGAGAGAAGAACGTGTCCTTTGAAAACGGGTTTGACTGTTTTTGTTAGCTGTGTCATCCTGGCATCCCTCCCCACAGTAAAATAAAAGGATGGAGGTTTGTGGGCGAGCGCGGGTTTGGCTCCTTTGGCTCTTGCTGGGTTTTACTGGGCGGCTGCAGGTGCTGATGGGGGGTCCCCAATGTGGTGCGGGGCCACCCCCCGGGATGGGAGCATGGGGGATGCTCGGGGAGGCTGGGGCTCAGCCTGGCCAAGGGGCGCAGGCGCTGCTGGATGCGGATGGTGGTGCCGGAGGGCAAGATTACCGGTGTGGCTTCCTGGAAAGGGTGAGCACCACTCGCCTTAGGGGCTCAGCTGCGATGGTTACGTGCGGCTCAGCTGAAATTTGTTGCGTTATTATTCCCCAGAAATGTCCAACTGGGTCCAACTGGGCTCAGCCCTGAGCGGGGGTGTTGAACCGAGGCAGAGCTGCTCCTTTCAAGCACCCATCCCCGAGGGTTTTCCAAAGAAGTGGCAATTTTTTAATGGGAGAATAAAAGCAGCTTAGCTGCCATCACACGTGTCCAAATACCTCATCTCGATTCTCCTTGCTGTTTGGCAGGTCAGGGCATGAGGGACGAGCTGTGGGGTGCAGAACGGGAGCCAGGCTCATGCATTTTGTTGGGGCAGGGCTGGGCAGCGTTTCCCACAGCTCAGCATCCCCCTGTGGCTCAGCCCAAGGACCCTCGACATCCCACCCCAATAATTAGTGTGTGTCTTCGGACGGAAGTTTATACACTGAAGCTTTGGGCTATGAATTATGAATGCAGCCACATCCCTGATCACCGCAGTGCTACGCTGATGGTCCTGAAGCTGCTGCTCTGCCCAAAGCTTTTAAAGATGTGAACAGCAAAACCTGGGAATGATTTCCTTTGGCAGCTGCAAACCTCTTGGCCTACAGATAGGGCTCATGGCTTTCCCTCTCCTGCCTCCTCCTTTTGCCTTCTCCTCTTTTATTTTCCAGTAATCCCCTCTCTCATAGCCCTCCTGGTTTGTCCTCATGGATGTTGTCCTGCTTGGCTATGTGGCCCATCCCATAGGGGCTGCATCCTTCATGGCAAGGTCCTCCCCCAAAGTTGGGGACCATCTGGGGACATCTGCCCTGGCGCTGGGTCCTGCTGGTCCCCTGGCCAACCCCACGGCTGGTGCTGAGCTCCTCACTCAGGGCTCGGATGGGTTTTGGCAAATCTCTGTAGCTTTGGCCATAACTTTGTGCTGGAGTTGTTGTATTTCATGGCTTCATCTCTACCGTGAGCCTTTGGGATGTTTGTCCTTGAACCTCGCCACCACTGGAGGCCAAATCCTGCCCTAAGCAGCCGTACGTGCTTAATCCTGTAAGCCGGGGTATTTCTGGGGTTTATTGCTTTCTGGGTTTGCCTGAATTCCTGCATTCTTACCTCCAGGAGCAGCTCCTGGCCGGTGCCCCCGTGGCCGGCAGCGAGGCAGCGGGAGCAGAACTCAATTTAAAAAACAAGCTTTAGAAACTTCTCAATTTGTACAAACGAAGGCAAAGCCCCTCACATTCCCCCCACCCATCCAGTGCCGTGCACCCTGCGGCGAGAGCCCTTGGGGAGCCTTGGGGAGCAGCGCGGTGGGAAACCATCCCAGCCCGAGCAATGAGTGCAGGAAAGGGATGCTCGTTGTTCCCAGTCCTTTCCAGTTCAGCCATCAGGAGCAAAAAATACAGCTTCAAAGGCAAAGTTTTGGTCAGGATAAGGCATTCTGCCCTGGGCTGGGATGCAGGAGGGCTCCGGCAGGCCCTGACCGTGTCTCACATCTCTTGTGCAGGGGACTCTGTAGCAAGGGAAGGACCAAGCCACAGCCGTTATTCGCCCACCTGAAGCCGAGGAGTGGATCTGCAGGGAAGGAGCCATTTTTCAGACGCAAACACCCCCCCGGCTGAGAGGAGCTGCTGCCGTGGATCGAGCTCGCTTCTGGAGGGAAAAATACCGCTTTGGTTCGGAGTCTAATTAGATATTTACCAGGAAGGAAGGGAAGTTAAAAATAGGGTGACAGCGGCTTCAAAGGGTGTTTTTGACTTCTAAGAATAACACCTTTGCTGGCACTGATTTTGGGATTATCGGCTGCGTCTGGGTGTGAAAGACTGAGGCGACGTTGGAGCTCGGTCGGTGGCCAAGGCAGCAGACCCAGACCCCCCCCCCAGCCCCCAGCCCTTTGAGGAGGGGACATCGGCATCGCTGCAAGGGCCTGTGGAGATTTCAACAGCACCCGCGGGGGCACAGCAGAGGGATTTTGGGGAAGACAAAGCTACCGGCGGCCCAGGGAGCGTGTGGCACCATGGGGACCCCCTCCCCGTGGGCAGTGCTGGTGCTAACTGTGGTGCTGGTGGGGATCTCAACTCCCAGTGTGGTGTACGGGCAACCCAACTTCATCATCATTCTGGCAGATGATGTGGGCTGGGGGGACCTTGGGGCCAACTGGGCCGAGACGAAGGAGACCCCACATTTGGATGAGCTGGCAGCTGAAGGGACAAGGTAACGTCTGTCCTCCCTCCCTGGCTCTCTCCAAGCATGGTTTTGGGTGCATGGGGAAGGTGGGCAGAGCGTGGGGTGCAGGTCCATGCATCCCGCTGGGACCTGTGAACTCCATTGCCCGCTCCAGGCCCTCACCCTTGGGGCAGAAGGGGACACATACAGGGGAGCAGGGAGGGATGGGGCAAGGCGTTGCGAGTAAAGGGTCCTTTTGTTCTCCAGGTTCGTGGATTTTCACTCGGCCGCCTCCACCTGCTCGCCGTCCCGCGCCTCTCTGCTCACGGGGCGCCTTGGGGTGCGCAATGGGGTCACCCACAACTTCGCCGTCACCTCGCTTGGCGGCCTGCCCCTGAACGAGACCACCCTGGCCAAGGTCCTGCGGGAGGCTGGGTACAGCACGGGGGCCATAGGTAATGCCCACCACACCGAGGGGACACCTGGGACAGGGAGGTGGCAAAGGATGGGATGAAGATGCCCGTGTCCATCCCCCATGGAGGAGGTACCACAGGTAGTTAGGTGAATGCTGGCAATTAAAGGAAAGTCTAAAGGGTCACGTGGGACAGATTTTGCAATCCTAACCTTAAAATCTTAATTTTCAACCTTATTTTTTTCTGGATACAAATGCATGAAAGAGCCTTTCAAGGCTGGCAGCGGTCGATTTGCACAGGCACGAGATACCTCATGCAATTTTTCTGAGTTTCTACAATAAAAAATAGGCATTTTGGAAATACGGCCAGCAAAAACAAGTAGCCTTTCTTGTTGCTAAGGGCACCTCGAGTATGGTGGCTGTGCTAACCTCTGATGTTGTGTGCCTTCCACACAGGCAAGTGGCACCTGGGACACCACGGCCGCTATCACCCCAACTTCCGCGGTAAGATCTGCATCGGTGGGGACAAGCCAAGCATCCTGGGGTCGCCTTGTCCCCACCAACACCTTCTCTTGCTCCTCAGGCTTCGACTACTACTTCGGGATCCCCTACAGCCATGACATGGGCTGCACCGACACCCCTGGCTACAACCGACCACCCTGCCCACCCTGCCCGCGGCACGGGGCTTCCAGTGCTGGCTCTGGGAGGTGAGTATCTGCACTGATGTCTCTTTTGCCTCGGTCACCTCCCCTTATGCTTTGCGCACCCGTATTTTGCCCCCCATGCACCCTGCAGTGGTGGGTAGGTCCCCAGAGCATCGTCCCCTTCCCGCTCCCCTCCTCAGCGGTGCCTTTCTGCAAAGCCAGCTCTGGGGACAAGCGTGGGGTGGCTTCTTCCCGGCAGGGTGGCGAGGAAGGACTGCTACACGGAGGTGGCCCTGCCTCTCTTTGAGAACGTCGCCATCGTGCAGCAGCCCGTCAACCTCAGCAGCCTGGCGGCTCACTACGCCGAGGAGGCGGCACGCTTCATCCGGCGAGCCAGGTGAGGTGACACCGCTGTCCCCTGTGCCGGGACAGCTCATGGTGGCTGCAGGAGTCTTCTGCATCATGGCAGTGCAACGCTGGGAGGGACAGGTGCTGCCCTACGGTTTTTGGGAAGCAGATTTGGGGTCTCTGTGATTCGGCTTCCCAGCAGAGGGAGAGGAAGCCATCTGGGCTGTCACCAGTGTCCTGCATGGCTCGTCATGGCCTTTTGGCTCATCTGCAGGGATGGTGCGTGTTTAAAACCACCATTTACAAGGAAGGTTAAAGTTTTTGAGCTGAGCTGTGCCTCCGTCATGGGGTTGGCGGCTAGGGGGCACGGGAGGGAGGGAAACACTGCCATCCCTCCATCCTCCATCCCTCCATCCTCCATCCCTCCATCCTCCATCCCTCTGTCCTCCATCCCTCCATCCTCTATCCTCCATCCCTCCATCCTCTATCCCTCTGCCCTCCATTCCCCCATCCTCCATCTCTCTGTCCTCCATCCCTCCATCCTCCGTCCCTCCATCCTCCATCCCTATATCTCCCATCCCTCTGCCCTCCATCTCTATATCCTCCATCTCTCTGTCCTCCATCCCTCCATCCTCCATCCCTCCATTCTCCATCCCTCCATCCTCCATCCCTCCATCCTCCATCCCTCCATCCTCCATCCCTCTGCCCTCCATCCCTCTGTCTTTGTGGTGGCGCGGGTGAGGTGACAGCAGGGTGGCTCAGCCGAACAGTGGAGGTGTCTCTGTGGGTGGGGGATGCTGAATGGGTGCTCTATTCTGGGGAGCTCCATGCTGGGGTTTGCTCCATTTTTGGGGATGCTGGGCCTCAGGGTCTGCCTTCCCCAGCAGTGCAGGGACACGAGGAGCCGGGGTGTGCTCTTCCCCGAGGGGCAAAGCGGCTCCTCCGAGATGACAACCCCGAAGCCCTGCTGACGGGTTGTGTAATTTTAATCCCTATTATCGGCGGATTATGAGCTGTGACTTTGCAAAACGCCTCCCTGCAGCGCCAGGAGGGGAAGTGCTGCCGGGCATCCGTGTCCGAGCCCATCCCGCATCCAGGGATAACACAGAGCTGGGGAAGGGCCATGGTGGGTGGTTCTGAGGGTGCTTGAGAAAGGGTTTGTGTAACGGGGACAAATGAGGAGCTGGGGGGACACTGCGGGGCAATGCCTCGGGCTGCGAGGATGCTGTGAAACCAAACGTGTGAGCTCCGGGTTAATAGGAAAAACCTTTAAAATCCCAATGGTGCTTTGGGGTTATCTGCGTTCGTGGAGAACAGGATTAAGCAGGTGCCTGCCTTTTCTCTCCTTGGCTTTGATGGCTTATTCCAATTTTCCTCTGCCTGACTCATTCATTATGGGGCAACAAAAGAACACCGGATTTGTCATCTCGGTGTTTTTTTAACCGCTCGTGTCAAGGCTGAGCAATTCGTGGCAGTGAGACTTGGCATGAGTGAGACGTAAAGCATGGCGAACACAGGAGCAAAAGTCAGGGGCGTTTGTCTTGAGTTATTGATTCAGTGTTTGCTCAGTTTTCAGGAGAAATTTCTGCAATGCCGATGCAAAAAGCAAGCGGGAATGCCATGGCCATGGGTCTGGCTGGATGCTGGAGAGTGGATGGAGCCAGGGGAAGCAGCTTTCCCAGCTCCAGAGTCTCTGTCATCCCATGGGAAAAGGTGCTGGTGGCCTTTGGCAGCGGTGATTTGCAAGGGTTGCATCAGCCCACCTTGACCCCCAGTGATTTTCAGGGGCAGGGCAAGGGGGTGGGGGAGTCACAACCCTTTGCGGGGTCCGGCACTGCTGGGAAAGGATGCGGCAGCTCCGTGCGGGATGGGATTTCCTCATTTTCCATCCCCAGGTGGGTGACGGGTAAGGGAAGGAAGTGCCGAAACGCACGTCGGAGCGGCCCCGAAAACTTTCTGGAGGTTGCGATGGGGCGGCCAGAGCCGGGCGCGTGCGCGGGCTGGGGCACGTCCCCAGGATCCGGCCCCTCCTCAGCGCCCGCCATCCCACCCTTCCCCTCCGAGGTCCCTG